ACATGCACGTGTTTTCAATTCCACAGAGCACAGTGGCATGCATGCGTGGATCCGCGTCAGCTGCTGGCTGGCCGGCTGGCCCGTACCAAATCTGTTTATGGTTGTGGTCCTGCGGTGTTAGTTCATGACAGTTGACAGACACTTAATTGGGGGCATGCATTGCTCTGCTCCAGCTCCAGCTGGTACGTCCTCCATCACACTTGTCGACTCCACTGTGAGCTCCTGTCTGACTTAGATGGCAATTTTTTACAAAAATACATGAGCTCCTGTGCTTTATTCAATTAAGCTGTGCCTTGCTTGTCTCATGAATTTCGTTTAAACTATGTAATTAGTTTTATTTTTATTTATATTTAATGCTTACGATGCACAAAGATTCATGAATCATCAAAAATTTGAAAAATTTTTGTAACTAAACTGGACCTGAATGGATGAATGGGCCATGTGATGTGATGCCGACAGGTTTTGATTTGGTTGGGCAGCAACCGTATCCCCGGGACCTAGTTCCGGCACTAGTAGATCATCATCATCCATCTGTTGTCGTCGTGTCCCGACCAGTCCACGTGTGCCTGTTTAATTGTTTGGATAGATGCCATGCATGCGGTGCATCCAGTTGATCGCCTAATCAAAGTTTGGCTCGCTAGGGTTCAGCATCAGCCACGGAGTATATACGTACCTATGTATTTTCACTAACTAATTATACTATGCATGTCATGTATGCAGGTGCTGACGAACGCGACGTACCGCAGCGTGGAGCACCGCGTGATGGTGAACGCCGCCGACGAGCGGCTGTCGGTGGCGCTCTTCTACAACCCCAAGAGCGACCTCCCGCTGGCGCCCATGCCGGAGCTCGTCACCCCGGACCGCCCCGCGCTCTACAACCCCATGACCTTCGACGAGTACCGCATGTACATCCGCCGCAAGGGGCCCCGCGGCAAGAGCCAGGTCGACTCCCTCAAGGCCGCCGCCGCCGCCGCCGCCACCGTCGACGTGGCAGAAAATGCTACTAGCTAGCCAGCCGAGATGATTGCATTGTGTGTGTATGCGCGCATGCGTGCGTGTACGCCTGCTGCATGCCGGCCTAAATAAAACCATAGATTAGTTTATTGGTGTAGGAGCTCTCTAGCTAGAGTGCTGTTTGTTGGACTCATAAGTGGTCTGCCGATCATTTTCGACATGCATCATCCTCATCAAGTCAAGTATTACCAGTTGTTGCTTGTCCTCGTATATATTTTTTCTTTCTTCGCTGTCACCACTATGCAAAAGAATTGGATAGGAACGTACACCGCGGGGTGCCGTGAGGACCTACCACAGATTCATGACACATATCCATGTGCAAGCATTCGACGCCTGAGAGAGAGCTGAATTTAAGCTACTTCTGAAGTCAAGTATGAACATGTGTCATGAATCAACGATAGGTTCTCACGGTGTCTTCATGACCACCACTGCCGCCTCCAACAAGGCTAGCAATGAATATTAGGATAGACACCAATTTTTAAAAACCGTAAACCGTGATAAATTTAATTGTACTGATACATATTACAGATACTCTAGGCAAAAGGAATATTTAGGTTTGTCATGACTCATGACACAAGCGATCGACACGTGCCAATTGGGCTGCATATATAGGGCAGAGCAACGGTTGGCTCTCTGCCTAGCCGTACTATGAAAATAACCCTGCTGCACCTCTCCTCTGCCATCCAACCACAAGATCGAGCAAGGTGAGAAGGTCAAAGGTTGACAAAAAATGACAACGAACTCCATTATTTGTTGCTCTCATCAAACAATGGCGACCGTGATTCCAATCCACAGCCAAACGGTATTTGCCGATATATAAGAACAAGAAACCATGGATTCCAAATGTAACCACCAATCATTCTCGCTAAAATATTATTCCCTTTTAGCTTTCGCACGTGAACAAAAAACGATAGGCTGGCCGTCTTTGTCCAAAAATCATGTGCAAACAAACTCTTTTTTACAAACCGTATAAAAATACAAGCATAAAAAAACTGGAAGTGGTGGTATGTCATGCTTAAGTCATGAGACTCATATGATCATGACCCTTGAGTTATCATAGTGTTATACTTTCCTATGTCCTAAAAAAATACACATACATTTCATGTCACTGTATCCAACTAACGCTATCACCATATATAATTAATTAATTAATTCACATATCGTGTCTATGAAAAAACTACTAAAATTAACATCAAACTGTTCACTTTTGCTAAAGATGTAGCACACCATGGTGTTACAGCTCCATTCTCTCTCCTAATTATTTCTTTGCCACATAAACAAAACAAAAAAAATCATACACAGGGCATCTAAATATGTATGGGAAAATGGAATGGTGTTTTCTGAAAAAATCATTTTCTGACATATTAAAAACAGGCCATGGAAAAGGAAAGAGAGGGCCGACAACCACACTGGGAAAGCAAAGATACAGCTGACAGTGTGGTGCGTGCGCAATATTTTCTGATGGCTCCCTGCCCTTGATATGTCAATCCTTGCGATGGTCCTCTCTTCTCTGACACGACAACACCGAAAAATGGCATCTTCACGTGTATTTCACATGACTTAATTTTAATTTTATTTTCATCATCTTTTTTTAGATAGAAAAGAAAGATCATAGATGTGTAATTTTCAGAAAGAAAACAATACAAGTTAATGGTCGATCGACGGGTCTTTGTCTGATGACATACCTGTTTTTGGCCCACATGAACGATAAACTGATGAAGGCAAGATATCCAGGAATCTCTATCATCACCTGCCCAAGGAAGATTAAAACAAAATCATCGTCGTCACCAACATTGCCCAGGAAATCTCTTACGATAGTCTGATCAGTACAATTATTATACCTTCCCCATTCTAGTTTACAATATATCAGCTGGCAAGCTTGGCAGCCGTATGATTAGCAAGTCTGGTGGTCGTGTTCGAGTAGTGTAAAGCTTTGTATTTCTAGAGGGTCATTGGAGAATTTGAGCTTACTCCTTTTGCTTCACGAAGCTAGAGCCTCTAAGGGCTGTTTGGAAAAAAGGAATGCGAAACAGAGGAAAGGAAAAAAAAAAACGAATGGGATGTAGGTGTTGTGGGAAAACAGATGAATGAAAAACACACAAAACATATAGATAGAGGTGTTTGGAACGTATAAATTATAACACAAGATTTCTAAAACATAAGGTGTGATTAAAAGAGATGAATACTTGTTTTATTATTCCAATATTTGTCATTACAACGTCAAATTTTAATTAACAAATAAACATGTGTAAAGTTTTTTTTGCAAGAAGTAAAGGAAAAATTAGTAACAATTTAATGTAATTAATAGCCGCGAGTCTTCATCGACGGGTGAGAACTCGGTGGCCGCAGGGAGCTTCGCATGCAGGATGTTCGGAGCTGAAATTCTTTTCTATTTTTCTTTTGCTCTCCTCTGCTACGCCTCATTCCATCTCAGCCCGCTAATTGCTTCTTCTCTGTTTTTGCCTCGGACATACACGAAAACCAGAGCTCAAGGTGCATGTTTTATTTCCTCCATTTTGTGAAGAAGAGCTTTCCTTTCCTTTGGAACACAGAGACTCATTCCTCCATTCCAAACAGCAATTCTCTAAGCCTTTCCTCTGGATTCAATTCCTCTACTTTTTCTTTGGTTTTCCTTCATTCCAAACGGCTCCTAATGCTGGGCCAGAGCTCCTCCTTTTTTTTTAACAACATGGGCCAGAGCTTTTTTATTACAACATGGGCCAGAGCCTTTGCATTGGTTTATCAGCATGTTCGTTTGTAGCCGGTCAGCCAATAGTATTTCACAACAAATCAGCACCGGAGCTTACCAGCCCAGAATGTCTATCCGTCCTGGATGATTTGCCGGTGAAGAACCACTCAACGAATCCTGAAAAGACAACAATCAAGTCAAGCAGGAAAAAGGAAGAAAATGAGAGGAAATATGATCACATGGAGCGAACTAGGACACGTACAAAAGTACAGAGTCACTGTTGGCACAGTGGAGCTAGACTGAGATAGGAGATAGCACTGCCGCAGAACAGAACACCGGTCGAGAAAACCCCACCAGTGCAACGCAATTCACATTATTATATTATAAAAATATATATATATAATATATACATGTGGTGTGCGACGGCGCCGCAATTGGGTGCCGAAAGGGTGGCCGGCCTTTCTTTCCCCACCGCCGCGCGCGGCAGATTCCGGCGAGGGCAAAAGCGCTGCGACGGCGACGGCGGAGAGGCTCAGGGAGCACGGGGGATTCGGGCAACGAATCCGACATCGACCTCAGGCCTGAGCGAACCTGCGACGACGACCCGTTCCCGCTCGGATAAACCTCGGCCAGGAAGATCACCATCCTGCTTTTTCCCTTGCAATCCTGCCCTGACAACGATCGCCGATGCGACGACCGGCATCTTTTCTTTCTGAAAAAGCATATTATTGTTACTACCAGCGGAGCAGCCGAGCAAGTGCTCAGCTTCATCATCTCAGGTTTATTACACGCGTGAACCGAAGCGTCTGCTATGGATGCAACAAATTTGTAGTTGATACAGTAACAAAAAAAGAAGAAAAAGGATCAACCTGCGAACCACTTGTGTCTATGCATGCATGGACCATGATCGTTGAAAAGACCCTATGATGTTCTAAAATAAATGCCCAAAGAAACTGAGACATCAGAGATCATTGCTGGGCCAGAGTAGCATGACATCCAACAAAGACACGGCAACTGATAATCTGAATCGCCTCCATGACCACCCAACATGAGCTAGAAGAAGAAAAGGAAGAGCTGGTTAATGCAAGAGACTGATGCTGCTACAATTACACAACTGAATATGACGATGACGCAAACAGCAGCAACTCCACTGGCAGGTTAGCATGGGTGTAATCTTACAATAGCTAGAAAAGAATACACCAATACTAGCATGAAAAAAGTGAGTTCATTCAGCTAATGTCACCACAACTTCTCCACAAACGAGTACTCCTAATAGACTCACATTGTACAGAGAGCTTCAAGACAGAAGCTGTTGGATCGCCGCCTTTTGGTCACCTGTTAGACTAGTGGGGAACTTGATCTGAAACTTGATCCTCAAGTTCCCCTTTCTAGACGGCTCCCTTGTGATTGGCATGCCTTCACCCTGCACAACTTCCTCATAAGTAGGACTCACAACTGACTTCACGGGGATAGTCAGGGTTCGTCCATCCAGGGTCGTCACTTGGACTGTGCAGCCTGTCAATGCCTCTACTAGAGAGATCTTATGAGTGTAGATAAGGTCGTTCCCATCCCTCTTGAACCTGGGGTGTGCCCGTTCTTCTATTATGAAAATTAGATCTGATGGTGTAACATTACGAGCCTCATTGCCTTTATCAAGAAAGGTGATCTTTGTACCCTTCTTCCATCCAGGCTTGATATCTATCGTCAGGATCTCCTCACGATTTGTTGGTTTCCTTCACAAAAAATATGAAATGTATTATCAAAACAAGATAGGAAAATAATGAGATTGCCTATTCTGGACAACTAAAAAGCTTTGATCATTTAAAGTTTCAACCTACTCGAACCTAGCAACTTGATATGATAATTTAATGCTTAGTCTTATCCATCCAGCACAGTTTCACAACTAAACACTCATCAATCACATAACAAGCATGTGCCAAACATATGATGTTTCTCAATAGGGGCAAACAAAGAAACTGCATCTATATCATAATGTCTTGAGCTGTATGTTTGACAAAGCACCATGTAATTGCAATCATTAAAATTAGTTTAGAAGGCAATTTATCACAATCCATCCCCTTCTTGAATGGACCTACTTCAAAAAGTGGCTTTGCCCCATAATGATAACTATATTGCTAAAAGGCAAGCACATGATGGAAGTATGAAACTATACACCATGCTGTGCTGCTCCAAAGTCATTGAAAGCAACGTGTGTTTCAATATTAGAACTTTAGAAGATGATATTATATTCCACCTCAATCAATTACAGAAGATGATATAGAACTTTAGAAGAAATAATATATACTGCATAGTTGTGTTTAATCAGAATCACAGGTCCCTCAATGTCCATGTGAAATATTTTATTTACCATCACGAACTAGCTGCTTCATTCAAAAAGAGTAACGTATCACATATTCGTAGTTCAAAAAGTGCTCCCATCAGTATTCAGGTGTTCAATACCTTGGAAGTAATAAACACAATACAGTAAATCCACAAGAAACTGGACAATAATAGATCTACCCTGAGTTCAAACATTAGTCACAGCTGTCTACCTCCAGTAATCTTTAATAAATCAGTAAATCATCTGTGAAATGTACAAGCCCAGCTATCAAATTATGAATGCCTCTGAACGCTCTAATATCCTTGTACAATGCGTGCGTTTAGGATAGAAACTCAGCCTCTTAGCCCCTTAACTGATGAAGCTACTATGTCTTACCCCACACATTTTGTCTTATGGCATCTATAATTTGAACCCCTTCAAATTTGATTTTGAGTAGAATATGTAACAGAAGTTGTAAGCATGAGGTACAGACATAAAAACTTCCCATTGTTACAGTCTCACAAGTTAGATGGTCAAAAACATGGATATGAAGTTGTCAAGAGATCCTACCAGCAATCTTTATGTGGCATTCAAGGAATAGCAAGCAGGCTAGGCAGCTGACTTTTGGAAGTGTTTAGGTCACAACATGAAAGTATTTATTTATTTATTTCGTTGGTATAAAAAAAAATAGACAAGGCACTGAGAACAGCACAAAACAAGGAAAAGCATCACTAAATGAAATCCTGTTAGCAATGTCCAAAAATGCATACTCATGAGGATAAAATAAAAACAGGATAGAAAAACATGATTAACTCAAGGGAATCACTTTGTTTAAAAAAATACTCAAACAAATCACCTTGTTCCAAACCCCCCCCAAAAAAAAAAAAAAAAAAAAAAACTAATTCAAGCAAATTGTAGTGCAAGAAATAAGAACAGAGTTGACATAATGACATGTCGACTGGACATAAACTGGATATCCCCATGCGAAACAAATTATGCAGTATGCACCGTGCAATACATATACACCACCCTAATATCATATCCGAAGGATATTGCCAACTCCAAATAAATCAAGAATGATGGCTAAGATTAAAAGCTAACAACAGAGTCAGCTTGGCCACCATGGGAAGCACATTATAGAGTTATGGTTAAAGTGCGTAGACAAGGTCAGAATACCTTGTGTATCGCCCAAAAGAATGAGAAAGTATCAAGGGGCAACAACAGCTGAAACATCGTGGACTGAAACACAGAAAGATTCAATTAACATTATCCAATAGAGAGAGTGCTGGAGAATTAAGACTGATGCAGACTTGAGCCGATAAGATAAATCAGACAAACAAGAAGCAAACCAATGGCCATTTGCCTACAAGGAGTGCGGGTGTGCACTCAGCCCACCAGCCTGACTTGGTGCAGAAATCAATTGCAAAGCATGTACCCACACTCTGTGAGACCTTATATGCCTCTGATAAATTCGTATTGGGTTTAGGTGCACATGTACATGGGTGGTGATGGTAGAGTGTTTTGTGCTCGCACGCGTGTGTGTATGCCTCGTACACAATTACTGTCACAATAGAAAGACGACATAAGACAGATTAAACCACACTTGTATCGTTCTTGCCTTATCTCTTCTAGTCCTCTTTCGTTGTGTCTACCATCCCTCTCAACTTTTTCTCTCCGGTCAACCTTTCCTCTCATGCTCCACAGTTTCCCTGCCCTAAAAATTCTAATGTGCAAGCACAATGTGCGAACCAAAGTCAGAAGATGCATAACAAAAGCCACGACCTAGCATAAAGTCTCTACTGATCCTACAACAACCCAGGGACTTGCTCAATCATCCAGGCCGAAACGATTCTTTACAAAAGAACAGAATGCTATAACCTGTGGTCAGTCTGTATTCTGCAGGAAAAAAATTGGGCAAGGAATCAGCGGTCTCACCCGGCGGCGTCAAGGACATCCCTGGAGATCTTCATCTTCTTAGTGGCCCCTTTGTACAGTTCCTCCAAGGTGCAAGCCAGCGGCCGCTCGATAGGCGGCGCCTTCCTCTGCACCGGCGCGCTCGACGCCTCCCCTGGCCCAGCGGCGCCGCCGAACATCGGGAACCCGGGGGGAACGCCGCCGCCGGGGGTACGGGGGACCGCCCCCGCGAACCCGCCGCCGAATATCTCGGAGAAGATCTCCTCGGCGCTCCTCGTGTTGAAGCGGAACCCGTGGAGGCCGCCGCCGGCGCCGGGGCCGTGCGTGGAGGCGGAGGGCGGGGGCGCGCCGGCCTTGAGGCCTTCCTCGCCGTACTGGTCGTAGATGGCGCGCTTCTGCGGGTCGCTGAGCACCTGCGAGTGGGGGAGGCAATGCCAATCGAGAGGGAGGTCAAGCAGATGGGGTTTCCCGGCGGTAATGGAGGATGAGGGGTAGGGATATGGGTACGGACGTCGTAGGCCTCGGAGACCTGCTTGAAGAGGGTGTCGGCCTGCGGCGAGGGGTTCTTGTCGGGGTGATACTTCATGGCGAGGCGGCGGTAGGCCTTCTTGAGCTCGTCGTCGGTGGCGCCGCGGCCGACGCCCAGCACCTTGTAGTAGTCCACCCCCATCGGCGGCGACTGCTGTTGCCGGCGGGCGGGTTTCTGCTGCTCCCGAGCTCCTGACGAGGGTTTTGGATTTTGGTTGGTACAGGTGGTTGGTAGGTTGGTTTGCTTCAATGCTCTGCTATCAGATGTTTTCCTTTCCCTTTTTGCTTGGATATTTACCTCCATGAGTCCTACTATTACTCGTGTTCTCTAAATACGATTCTGGTAACAAAAGCGGGCAAACCATCGTGCCACGTCACCCGCTAAGCCACGAGCCGTCGGATCAAGCGAGCAAGCGATCAGGTCCGTCCGATTGCGGATCGGTCGGGTCCCTCGCCCGCTTTATCGGCGACCAGACCCATGGCAAACCTTCACGGGCCGACCCTTGCCTCTTGCTTGCGTATCGCCGCCGGCCGCTGCTCTTCACTCCATGTCCAATGTCCACATCGTTCCCAATGGTCACTTCCTTGACCCGAGGAGGGGTGGATACGAGGCGCGTTATCGCTTGGGCTTCCGCGTCATGCGCTATTGTCGTCAGCATGGGGCTCTGGCACCTGCTCGCCTTGGCCGCCGTCGACTCCATGACAGAGCACCAGCTCGTTTCCTCCTGCGAGCTCCATCGTCTCGCCTTCTACATCTCGATGCCGGTGCAAACGAGCAGCGACTCACATGCAAATCGACGGCAACGACGACAATCACCTCCACCTGCCCCTGCCCACTCTGCCGAACTGACCCCTTTACCACCAGGTAACCATTACATTTCTCTACTTGATAGTTGCTGCTATAGGTTGTCAGAGATTTGGAATAGAATTTCATTAACGAATATTTTTGGTCTTAGGAGTTTATTTGGATCAATCCCCATTCAGTTTTCAACCCTAAAATTTCATTCTAAGTCACATGTTTGTGCGTTCTCCTTCGATATGTGCTTTTCCAACTTCCTCTGTCAGAACATGCGGGCAAGGCACTCGATTAAATGACCCTCCTAGATACGGCAGCAGATTTAAGGTACAAAGTGTCTTATTCCATCCTCTAGTTATTTAAATGTTCTATAGAGATTGATCTGCTAGAATGACATCGATTTCAAATAAAATAGAGTATGCATCATTCATTTCAGGGACGTCCTCATATCAGAGCCATGGGAAGATAAAAAACAACTACCGATAAGTCTACAAATAGAGATTCCAATGGAGATTTTTTAGTGCAGAAATATTAAAACCTCCCCTCAGTTTTTCTTACTTTTTTGTACTCTATAATAACTACTCTATAAACTAGGAGTACAGGTATCCGGTCACCATTCTAGAGGATTTAGATACGATTTAAGTTCATCTTATATAAATAATACACCTCTTTCAGTTAGATTTATGTGAAATAACTCATGGGATACATTTTAAATTAACTTAAGCACCGGCAATATTTTTTTCCAATTCATACAAAGACCTATATGTATTAGGGATGAAAATAGGACAGATATTTCTTGACATCTGAAAATACTAATGGAATAATTCATGTTTCCTGCTGCCTATATTTTATAGCTTGGGCTAGGTTTCAGTGCTCTTGGTATCCATCTAAAATGTGTCACATTACAGTTGGTAATATTTTTGGCTTAAATCATCTGCAGATAAGTAGGAATTGTTGCTTAGAATTACTCAATGACAAATATATGTACCTTAAGCTTAGATTTCTTGTTATTTCAGGTCAAACAGTTTTTTACATTTATAGGATCCAGACAAGAAAGCAATCTTCACTAACTGATGTTGAAACTCCAAGAGCTGTTTGCGTCTAGCTCAGCCATCCATTTTGTAATTCTCTTGGTTGTCCAACTTCTTTTGCAACAGAATTGCTCTCCATTCCTCCATGTTGTGTCACCTCACCATCCTAGCCTCTTGGAACTTGCTAACAGCTTCTCCAGCTCGCCCATTGCAAGATCAAATGATTCGATGTCCCTGGCATGACAAAGAATTCTGCAAACTAAGGAATAACCATGTATGTGTTGCTTAGATATATTCTATGTTTCTCTACTTATATATGTAGTTAATTTTATTATCCACTGCTATTAGTTCCCAAGTTTTCGTCACATTATCATCAGCGAGGGCTCTCTGTTCTGATTGACTCCCTCCGTGCAAATAAGGAGGGCGCCAAATATGTTTTGCTTTCCGAAGTATGTCAATTATTGTTCTTTAATTGAAACCAATGTGAGAGCAGGAGCAATATTGCACATTTGGAATGCATTATGTGCCTATTTGAGCCATGCGTGATATACTTATTTGTTTTTTCCATGTACTTTAGTTAGACATTGATTTAATGCCTCTAAGAGAAGTTATTGATTTTATAATGCAGGTTCCTCAAGAGATCCAATCGGAGGCCAAGTATCTAAATTATTTCATATCTTAGCTAGCAAGTAATTAATTTTACTAATATTTTGGGCCAAATCAAGCTCAATGCCTCATTGATTAGAATTATGCACTTGTAGTGAATTATCAACACATATATATATATCTGAAGGTTCCAGTCACCCTGTTGTAATACAAATGTACAAATAGGTTGTATGTGATGTATGTTCCATTCTAACAAGCTTCTAAGTTCTATGACCTTGCATGCGCGTTGTAATTGGAATTTAATAAATTTTGGATTATGATCATTCCCTTCTGGCGCAAGATTCCTATTAAAGAGATTATCTGATAAATATGCAACCTCAGACTGGTCTCTAATAATAATAACTGTAAAGTAATTGAGCCTTTGCATTTTGGCTGCACTATTTCTGAAAATAATGGTTACAAGCATCTTATCGGTTCTTCCTTAATTGATTTATGCAAATTGTTTGAACATGCTACCATTGAAACATTCTTTGTTCATTCATTGTCATCATATCATCATATGTGAATGCATTCTTGCATTTTCAGCTTGTTTTTTTTGTACCACATTTTCTTGGTGCTCTTCACTCCAATTATGATAAGTGAGGCTCGATCTTTTTGGCGAACTTAGTCTTTATTAACCATTTCAGTTGGTTATGCACCAAACTGCAGATGTTGCACGCCCATTCTCCATGGGCCTTGGTAACATTGTAACACCTGGTTGGTAACAATGGTGTAACAACCCAAAAATCCACACACCAAAAACCCCAACTACAAAAATTTTTCTTTAAAACCCCATGTGATGATGAGTGACATTTGTAGGAGCTAACCCTAAGTGTTGCATTAGTCGTAATCCAACTAAACAAACTCATAGGCATAGCATGTCATTTGTTGTATATGTGTGTGTTTAAAATCCCTAACACATACATTCTTGCATGCATTTTAATTCTAAACAAGTGAGTTGTCTTTATTGATCTTTTGTTGTGCAAATAAAAGTGACCACTTATAATTAAATTATTATGCAATGAATTAATCACCTAAGTACCACCTAAGTATATGGGCCCCACCAACCAGCCCTAAGCTCCACTCTTAATCAAGGTGCACACTTGTACATGAAACTAAATAAATCAAACCCTAACCAAATTGGCAACAAATAAAAGAGAAAGGAAAACAAAATAGAAAAAGAATAAGAAAAAGAGAAAGGAAAGATGAGGGGGCAGCAGCAGCCCAGGCCTGCTCGGCCTTGCGAGCCAGCCCGGCCAAGCCCGCCTGCCCTCCCACTCGCGCATGCGGCCCACAAAGTCGGCCCAGCTTCGCCTCGCCACCCGCGCGCACGCAGACATCGACCGTCGGGTCCCACCTGTCAGCCCGTACCGCTTCACAGCGTCGCGACGCGCCTGAGCCGCACCCGCTGCCAACCGGACCCCACGCGTCAGCCACCCCAGCAACAGTGTCTTCTTCCTCCCCACGCCAGCCTCTCCTCCCGACCGAGCCCCGACCAAAGCAGCAGGCGCGGACCTAGGGTCACGCAAATCGCATGACCTTGTTCCCTTGGAGCCGCGCCCAAGCAACCCCTACGCCACCAAACCCGCACGCCAGGACCGTCCGATGCGCTCGCCACCGCCTTCAAACTCTCCACGGTGAGCACACTTCGCTGAGACCACTCCTAGCCTCTCAGATGCCATGAACGGACCATGCCGGAGCACGAGCTCTTGCTCTGGCTTAGCCAACCGGTAGCATAGAAGGACCACCACGACCCTCTTGTTGAGCCAAACGGAAACGCGAAGCAAAGGGAAGAAAGGGGGCGATGCCGAGCCCTCTGCTCGGGAACGCCAGCGTCGAGCGCTCTGCTCATGCCATGCATACGCATCGCACGCACGCACGCGCTCACCATGGCCAGAGCACGGCCATGGCGAGGCCACCTTTCCCGCACCACCGTGAGAACCACGCCGTTTGCACCCTGCCTGGCTTCGCGACGACTCGGGACACACCGCGTGCACCAACAGAAGAGAAGAAGGCCACTAGTGCTCTGTCTAGTACGCGCCGCACCCCACCGGAGCATCACCGCGTCCTTCATGGCCGCCACCGTGGCCGAAGCCACCGGGAGCCTCTAGCGCCCCTTCAACCTGCCCGCCACACCCACCGGAGCCACGGGGAGCTCACGCACCCCACCAAGCCTGCTCCCAACCGCCGCACCAACCGGCCGCCGTCGACGCGCCATAGCCGAGCCGCCGTTGCCGTGGCTAGTCCTTTGGGAAGCCCTAACCGTCACTCTGACCTCACCATTGTGTTCGTCGAGGCGAGGGGATGATTTCTCCCAAGCTAATTGCACCCTAGCGCCACTGGAGCCGCCAATTAGGCGAGCTTGCCGTCGACGGGCACCACGCCGCCGTTCGATCGAAACAGAGGAGAAGAAAGGGGGGGTACGGTGCACCCGGCGCACAGTGCGCCAGGAGAGAGAAAAGGAGGATGGACCGGGTCCACCATGGACTAGGTGTGCGGTTCATGAACCGCAGAAGGGTGGTCCACCATGAACCGATTCCGTGGACCCAGGCCCTAGTAAAAGCCCACAGGGGCTACGTGGCCTCACTAGTGAGCACCACGTGGCGGGCCAAGCTCGGCCCGTATCCGGCCCAATCGGCCTAGTTGAGGCCCGGCCTGTGTTGACCGTTGACCGGCCAACGTTGACCAATTGACCAGGCCCACATGTCAGCGACACAGAGACTCTGGACCCACTTGTCAGTGGGTGACGTCATGCTGACATCATGCTGATGTCATGCGGGTCCCACATGTCAGTAACAAACACAGCCGAGGTGACGTCATGATGATGTCACGGTGACGTCAGCTGCTGACGTCAGCAGCTCTGGCCCCACCTATCTGTGACTGTGATCCGATGACTGTTGACTCGCCCGTTGACTTGACGATTGACTTTGACCGAACCCACATGACAGTGACCCAAGAGCCACCGGTCCCACCTGTCGGAACTGATGACGTTGATGACATCATGCTGACATCAGCGGGACCCCACCTATCGATGCCGAACCAAGACGATGATGTCATGTCGACGTCAAAGATGCCACGTGGACCAACAGGGCGTGACACGTGTCGACGATATTAATTAATTCAGCCTTTTCCCATTTTCGAAATGATTTAAACTTCGGAAGTTCATAACTAATTCATACGAACCCAGAAAAATATGAAACCAGAACCAAAATTCATCTAAAATCGAGCT